GAAACTTGACAATTACAATATATAAAATAACAAATAATAAATCTGTATTTAAATTTGTAAATTAAACAATTGCACTAATATTTATTACTATATAGATTATTGTTGTTGTTTAGTTATTATTATTTTATTTTAAATAATAATAATAATAATAATGCTTTAGACACAACTACTTATTTTTTCCCCTCATTTTAGAGTATGTCAACAAAACTATGAAACAAGTGAATATTTTAAAAATATTTATATTTATATTCATAAAATATTTATATTTTTCATATAAAGATAATAAAAAAATGATTATCTATAAAATAAATAATACCATCAAAAAAACTATAAAACTACACCAGCGGATAATAATAATAATAATAATAATTATTATTATTATTATTATCATATTATTATTATTAACCACCGTGTTGTTCCATAGTTTTGATGACGTATTCCAAAATGTGGAACATAGCTGAGTCTAGAACATTGACTATAATGTATATCAGTGCACCTTTGTGTTTCTATCTGCTACTATGGTCATTTTTTTGTGGGCATGTTTCTTCGTTTGCCTGCTTGTAGGGTCTGGTGTTGGACTAATGACCATGTGCTAGATTCCTACAGGTTACTGACTTTCCCAGTTGACTCTGCCAAAGGAACAGTGAGCATTTTTTGAAAGCTCTATGTATAATACCAGACAGACAGATCACAATATGAGCACTGCCTCTGGTAGAAGTCATGATTGGACTGCTGCTGATGCTGTATTTGTGTTGTGTAACAGCACAGGCAGCTGTTGATACTTTCAGCATCCAGGCCCAGAGTGACCTAAAAATCTTACATAACATAACAAGACTAAACCTGCAAATCACCCAGACGAAACTACTGGATTCAACAGTAGTCTCATGGGATACATGCTCATACAGGTGACAAATAAAAATTGCTTGCATGGTCAGTTTATGAATTATCACAAATTTATTGTAAATACACGCAATCCACACATGCATGATCATGCAGTACCTGGTAAAGCTTGATGATGTGAGGATGGTCCAGCAACTTCATGATTTCCACTTCCCTGTAGATCTTCTCCAGGTTCAATGCATCTAACTGGGTCTTGTCTATGATCTTAATGGCCACCTGTAATTCAGCAAATGCTAATGTTAATTATACTGAGCTTTTGTTATCTGCATTTTTGAAGCCACGGATGCATTCATTATTTTCAGCTACCAGAATATATAGAAACAATACTAATTGTAGACCTATTAGCTTTCTAAAAATCAAAAGACCACTTAGGCATATGCCACTTTGTATACAAGACTTTATAGTTGTAATAAAGTAAAAAAAAAATTAAAAGTCATTGCTCACAGACTGCTGTCTCATGTCTTACTTTACAGCACCTTTTAAAATTATGCAACTGCAACTGGATCTACAGCTGTTCCACTTTTGCTTCTAAGTGAGAACTGGTGGGAAGCTGCATAACTTGTTTGATTTTATCTGACCTGGTCTTGACTGCAGCTCTTAGTCACTCTACAACTCGAGTTCAGAGAGTAAACTGACCTTTTTCAAAGCACAACAACAATGTAATACTGATGCCTGTGAAACAAAGGGTAGATCCAACTAGTTATTTAACTGTTATTAAATAAAACACACAGTACGCAATGCACAATTTAAGTACTTCATCTAGGTAAATAACAATCTGAACATGCAATAAATGTTTCCACTTATGATTTGCCACTCTGTCCTAGATATCAAAGGTCAGTGTTGTCTGTTTTGTTTGGATCTATTAAGCCATTCAAAAATTTATTAAAAAAGCAATTCATATAAAACTTGAAATCACATGTTCTGTGATGAGCATGCTTCTTTTTAATTTTTGAATTAAAATATGTCAAGAAATTTATTTATTTATTTAGTCATTTATCAGACGCGTTTATCCAAAGCGACTTACAAATGAGGACAACAGAAGCAATCAATTGTAATATTAAAACAACTAAAAACAGATCCAAAACTAAAAGCTAAAACTTGATAAATACTACCTATACCCATTTTAAAAATGAAGAGATTAAATAAAAAATGAAATGCCTAAATGTTTAATTTAAAAGTCATTAAAATGATTAAAAATGTTATCATACGTAGATTGGTAGCGAAGAAATGTAGTTTTAAAATATTAATAATATTTTTAATAATAACATTTCTGTACGGCAATTCAAAGTCAGTATGCAGGAAGCAATACTGCCATGAGACAAAAATCAGAGGACCCCTTTAGAGCCTTTTTTTTCTTTAATTCACATATTTTGACTTTTTTTTTATTGCAAACCACATTTTGTCCAGGGTCAAATGGAGTAACCCTAAGAAAACACACTATTAATAATAATAATAATAATAATAATAATAAATCATTATATATGTATATATTACATACTATACATCAACTAAATTTACTTGCACATTGAGTATATATATATATTTTTATTGTTATATATATATTTGTTTTAGATGATGGTTACACCTCTTAACATTGAAGAAATCATTACATTTTTGTTTTGTGCAAAATTGCACAAATGCTTTTCAAAAATGCATGAAATCACCGTGAACACAAATATTGCATTACATATATGAGAACTTAGCACATCTGATTTAAACCGCATTTTCAAAAATGTTTCTATTTTTCATCTCGCAGATCCCATTTGTCACAGATACAAATACAACTTCCAAATATTTAGGCATTTAACACATTTTCTATAGATACTCTCCTTAAATGATAAAAGTGATTTTTTTTTCCCGATTGTACGAGCGCATGTACACTGAAAACACTAGTGTGTGAGATTGAGCGTGTGTGTGTGTGTGTGTGTGTGTGTGTGTGTGTGTGTGTTACTCACCTCATTTTTGGTGATGCGATGTCTCGCCAGCTTCACAACTGCAAAATTGCCTTTTCCCAGCGTGCGCTCAATATCATAAAATCCCACCTGTGTGTTACTCACCTCAGATTTCGTGATGCGATGTCTCGCCAGCTTCACAACTGCAAAATTGCCTTTTCCCAGCGTGCGCTCAATATCATAAAATCCCACCCGAACCGGAGCCCGCTGCGATGGCTTTTGCTCCTGGGCGGCCATGACCATAGTTTTTCTAGTGAACTACTGGATAAAGAGGTGTGTGGATGATTTGGCCACCTTCACCTGCTCTTACATAGCAATTCAAGTGGCGCGTACAATTATGTTCCTAATGCCAAAGCTAAAATGCAGACGGGCCATATGGGTGCCAAGGGCTCCTGCACATTTCTTCGTTTCCAGATAAGGGCTCTACATAACTGAAACGAGAGCTCGGCATGAGGATGGAATGATGTTCTGGCGCTCGACATGCATTGACGTCAGTGCTGAAGGGATTTTATAAAGGGGCGGATCTCACAGAGAGGCTTCAGTGTCCGCGACCAGCAGCATGTCTCCAAGACAACCTTATCCACTGCGTGCGTCAATCAGCGGCTATTGCAATCTCTACAAACACATTCAACTCCGTAGCTAACATTTGACCTTCAAAAACTGTAATGCATTCCATTGTGACATGCATTCCATCCGACATAAAGAGTGGCATCGACACCACATCACAAGTAAATATAAGTACGGATTTTATATGCATTTGTGCTGCATGCATTTTTCATAGAGGACTGATTTTGCTCAATGCGTGAAAATAAAAAAATAAATAAAATCACAAGGCATAGCGAAAGCTCTCAAATGCAGCTGACATCATTACATTGGAATTTATATTATTTATATATTGGAATTTATTTATTTATTTTTTTGTGTACCGCAACGTGGACAAAGGCACCATAAAAAGCAGACATATAACAACAACAACAACAACAATAATAATAAACATAATTGTTTTTGTTATTTTATAGTTTTGTGACTTAGTAGTAGTGTTTTATTTTATATTTGTACATTTATTTAAACATCTGTATATATGCGCTCCTAGTGCTCTAAGCATGTAGTCAGAGAGCGACCCCTGCTGTCAAAAACGCTTACTGCCGTTATGTTTTGTTTTCAGCACACATGCACATAACTATAGATGGTGTTAAATATGTAAGTGAATATATTTAGTTTCAATTTCATTCATTTGTTTTTGTTTATTAAGGCTTCATTAACATCACTGCATTCACATTCCAATATTTGCATATAAGAAACTGTTTGATCATTCATTATTTCACAGGAAAAGACAGTCTGCGAGAGATTGTCAGTGTAATTACTGAGCCCATACAGCGTGTCCAGAAAAAGCAGCATAACAGGGTCATGCAAACCAACCAGTGAGAGCAAACAAGCTGTCTGGTATCCGAGCATCTCATTCTGATTCGTTGAGCAGCTTGTTTGTAACATTGTACCACCTTTGAGTGTTTATCCTTCAGAATTTGGCTTTAAAGATGCATTAAAAACTGGCTAGTATTATTCTGTGTCATATGAGCCCATGGAAATTAGAATCATAATATAAATAAAAAAGAGAAAAAAAGGGCAAACTACATCTGATAATCATGTGTGACCTGTAAACCTCAGATGTTGTTGCAATGAAAGTCTGATTGAGAGTACATCGATGGTAGATCTGCAGAAATCTGGGAATTAGTTTCTCTCATCAGGATTATTATCGTTAACTGAAACTAAAATTAAAACCATAAAAATACTTACTTAAAATAATCATTAACTGGAAAAAAAAAAACTTTAAACTTAAATTCAAATTTATATCTATGTTAACATATTTTATTTCAGCCAAGGCAACATTTCTCATTTTCATTTAAGTACTAAAATAACTCAAACTAATTCAGGTAAAACTATAAACTAAAACTTAAAAATGATATCGACATATTTAAAAAATAAAATAAAATAGAAACTAGTAAAAATTACCACAAAATTGCTAAACTTTTAGCTCAAATTAAATGAAATAGAAAATATGAATAAAAATCGAATTCAAAATATTAACAAAAACTATAATGTTATATCAACAATACTAAAATAACACAGTCTCTCATTTATTCAGTACATTTTGGAGATTTCAAAATGCTGGAGTCCACACATATCCAGGCCTTCTTTTGAAATACTCGGGTAAGACATCAACAGCTATTATCATTTTAGAGGAGAATACGCAGTTAAATGCTAATGTTCATCTTTCATATCAGTAGCCATATAATTCATCCATCCATCCCTGGTCTCTGTAATATCTCCCGCTTCCACGGCCCTGCAGGGTGTCATACAAATCATTGGTCACAAAGCCGCTCTCAGTGCTGGCCAGTGTCACAAAACCACTTTCAGTGTCTCTGCCTGCCAGGTTGTCGTAATCTCCAGGTGGAGTGTCTGGAGAAGAACCCAGGAAGGAAGTGTTCTTGATGTCAGGCCGCGTGCCGGCCAGGTCTGATTCATGCTGCCTTTGGATGACGTTATAGACGTCAGGGCTCGGGCTGTTGCATCTTTCTCCAGGGGCCCAATATCCTGGTTCCTTTGGAGGGGTCTCAGTCTGTTGTTTCTTCCTGCATGCATAAATTATGTTATATGCTCTCAAGTTGATCATATTTAAAATGTTTTGATCAGTGAAGTGAGCAGTCAAACAACGCACCTCTTTGTGAACAGCTTAAAGCAGAAAACTCCCGTCGCCACAATCAACAGCAGCAGAAGTGGTATGGTTGGCAGCACAATGTAAGCGATATTAAGAACATTGTCTAAAAAAAACATGCAACAGGAATTTGGTTAGTGTTGTCACACCCCTTTGGACTTTTGTTGTGTTTTTATTCCTCATGTGTTCTGTGACCCAGTTTTCCCTCATGTTTGATTGTGTCATTTAGTTCAGGTGTGTCTGGTTTATTATCCTCATTTGCTCCACTATATTAGTTGTGTTCTGTTCTCTGTTTGGGGTCCGGTCTACTACATCCCTACGTGTGTCTCCTGCCTGTTCTGTCCTGGATTTACCCTTGTGTGGATTTATTAAAGACTATTAGCATTCATCTTCATCTTCTTCGTGCATTTATCTCACTGTAGCGTGACAAGTGTGATCAATAAAGTTCAAATTTTGGGCTTGGTAAGATTTTTAAAATATTTTTGAAAGCAGTATCTAATGTTTACCCAGGCTGCAGTAATATTGTGGAATTTTTACAATATAAAATGATTGTTTCTATTTTAATATATTTTAAAATGCAGTTTAATCCTGTGATGACAAAGTTGAATTTTCAGCAGCCATTACTCCAGTCTTCAGTGTCACATGATCCTTCAGAAATCATGCTAATATGCCGATTTGCTGCTCAAGAAACATTTTTTATTATTGTCAGTATCTCATTATTTTTTATTATTATTATCAAACAGTTGTACTGTTTGCTGCTTATTTTGAATATAAACCTTTTGTAATACTATAAATGTTCGAAAAACATCTGATCAGTTTAATGTGTAATTACTGGAAATCTTACTGACCCCAACGTTTTGAACAACAGTGCATATTTGTTTTTTTTCCAAAGATCTTATATTAAAAAAACAAAACAAAAAAAAGACAGCATTCTGGAAAAAAGGCTCTTATCAAAACCCCAATAAGATTATTGGAGTACATTTTTTACAATTATTGGATTACATTTTATATACTATTTCTACTTAAATATTTCATGTTTAATTGTTTCTTTGTAATTAATTGTGAAATTGACTACCAATTTCTAATTGAAAATTGTTCCACACCCATTTTTTTATGTACAGCGGAGTCCAAATGTCTGAGACCACAACTGAAGATATGCCTAATTCTAGTTCAGATCTTATTGCAAATTATCAGCATAATCATTTGAATGAATCAAACTTGCAGCATGATTTGAGATGATCCAAAGAGCAGCTTGTGCCTCAATAGGAGTAGGAACATCTGATCGTCTGTACAAAGTCACATGACCAATGAAACAAATTTAATTATTTTAGTGACCTAGAAATAGTGCAGAAGCTGAAATGTTTGTCTTCAATTTGCACCAAATAATTGTAATTTTTTTCAAAATCATAAAACTATGTTTACTCCTGGTATTTCAGGTTTAAATAATAATAATTAAAAAAAAATCACAGGCTTTTAGACCCCATTGTTTTGAGTTAACAGGTATTCATGTCATGGCAGTCTTCAACCCTGTGAGAACAAGATTCACCTGGAGGTTCAGATACGAGCACCCTCATGCCATCATCCTTCTCTGTGACAGAGGGGTTTCTGGGTATTTTGGGTGTTGGAAGAGCATCTGTAATATATGTGAAATAGGTTTTATGGTATTATCTGGTGTAAGACATCAATATAGCAGCACAACAAACAGAAAAAAGTATGAAACAAACAAACACATACAAATAAACCAATAAATGCAGACTTTCTCATATTCTCACAAAATGGATATCCATCCAACATTAGGCCAGTGGTCCTCAACCTTCTTGACTCCAAGGGCTACAAGGGCTGTTCAAGACAATATTTAAAAGTCCTTCCATCTACGCTGATATGTTCCTGTTTTTTTCCCGTTGTAATTAAGATTATGTTAATTACACTAAATTTAAATGATTTTAAGAAGGGATAGTATGTAGAAAAAAAATCTATCATTATTTACTCACCCTCAAGTTGTTCCGAACTTGTATAACTAAACAGTTGACGGTAGGCAGCCATTGACTTCTATAATATTTTTTCCATACTATGGAAGTCAATGTCTACCGTCAACTGTTTGGTTACCAACATTCTTCAGAATATCTTTGTTCGTGCTCAACAGAAGAAAGAAACTCATACACGTTTGAATCAACATAAGGGTGACATCCCTATTCTCATAGAATTAGAACGATTATTAAAACTTTATAGTTGTAGTTATTGTCCTTGGTGTGCACAGGCCTTTACTAGGACCCCCTACTGGTTGAACAACTGCACTGCAGTGAACCACTGCAATCGGTATCCTTATTTTACAAAAAATAAAATAAAAATAAAATAAAATAAATAATTTGTTTTAAAATAATTTGCAATAATTATGCAGAGGTACTATATTAACATACAAATTAATTAATTTTGTCAAGCACAATATCCCTAGCTTACCTTCAAATGTTCTATTTTCTGCAGGGATGGGTGCTGGAGGTTTATCTGAAACATCACATGAAGACCATGTTATCATATACTATGCAGTTCTTGAATCAAATATTGCTATAATAGCACTGAAAATAATACTACAAATATTAACTTTTAAACAAATGTCCAGATTTTCTGAAGAAAATGTGAATGGTAAATGAGCACTCCTCAAGTCTCTACTACAGTGGGGGAAATATTTATTTGATCCCCTGCTGATTTTATAAGTTTGCCCACTTACAAAGAAATGAAGGGTCTGTATTTTTTATGGTAGGTTTATTTTAACGGATAGAGACAGGATATCAACCAAAAAAATCCAGAAAAAACACATTTTATAAAGGTTAGAAATTGATTTGCATTTCAGTGAGTGAAATAATTATTTGATCCCCAACCAAGCAGCAAGAATTCTGGCTCCCACAGATGTGCCCATGTGAAACACAGATTAGTCCTGCCACTTTAAGAAGTTACTCCTAATGTCAGCTCGTTAGGTGTATAGGACATCTGTCCACACACGTCTGTATCTTCCATTCCAACCTCTCCCTCCAGCATGGGCAAGACCAAAGAGCTGTCAAAGGATGTCAGAGACAAGATTGTAGATCTGCACAAGGCTGGAATGGGCTACAAGACCATCAGCAAGAAACTTGGTGAGAAGGACACAACTGTTGGTGCGATTATTCAGAAATGGAAGAAATACAAAACAACCATCAATCGGCCTCGGTCTGGAGCTTCGCCTCAGGGTGTAAGGATGATAATGAGAAAGGTGAGGAATCAGCCCCGAACTACACGAGAGGAGCTTGTTAATGACCTTAAAGCAGTTGGAACCACAGTCACCAAACAAACCATTGGTAACACACTACGCCGCAATGCACTGAAATCCTGCAGCGCCCGCGAGGTCCCCCTGCTCAAGAAGGCACTAGTACAGGCCCGTTTAAAGTGTGCCAAAGAACATCTAAATGATTCAGAGAAGGCTTGGCAGAAAGTGCTGTGGTCAGATGAGACCAAAATGTAGCTATTTGGCATTAACTCGACTCGCCTTGTTTGGAGGGAGAGAAATGTTGACTATGACCCCAAGAACACCATCCCTACAGTCAAGCACGGAGGTGGAAACATTATGCTTGGGGCTGTTTTTCTGCTAAGGGTACAGGACGACGTCACCGCATTGAGGGGCAAATGGACGGGGCCATGTACTGTGAAATCTTGGACGAGAACCTCTTTCCACATGACAATGACCTGAAACATACCGGCAAGGCATACAAGGCAACAAAGGAGTGGCTCAAGAAGAAGCACATTAAGGTCATGGAGTGGCCTAGCCAGTCTCCAGACCACAATCCTATAGAAAATCTGTGGAGGGAGCTGAAACTTCCGAGATGACAAACGACAGCCAAGAAACCTTAAGGATTTAGAGAGGATCTGTAAAGAGGAATGGATCAAAATCCCTCCTGAGATGTGTGCAAACCTGGTGACCAACTACAAGAAACGTCTTACCTCTGTGCTTGCCAACAAGGTTTTCTGTACTAAGTCATGTTTTGCTTGGGGATCAAATACTTATTTCACTCACTGAAATGACCTGAAACATACCGGCAAGGCATACAAGGCAACAAAGGAGTGGCTCAAGAAGAAGCACATTAAGGTCATGGAGTGGCCTAGCCAGTCTCCAGACCACAATCCTATAGAAAATCTGTGGAGGGAGCTGAAACTTCCGAGATGACAAACGACAGCCAAGAAACCTTAAGGATTTAGAGAGGATCTGTAAAGAGGAATGGATCAAAATCCCTCCTGAGATGTGTGAAAACCTGGTGACTGACTACAAAAAATGTCTTACATCTGTGCTTGCCAACAAGGGTTTCTGCACCAAGTACTAAGTCATGTTTTGCTTGGGGATCAAATACTTATTTCACTCACTGACATGCAAATCAATTTCTAACCTTTATATAATGTGTTTTTTTCTGGATTTTTTGGTTGGTATTCTGTCTCTATCCGTTAAAATAAGCCTACCATAAAAATTACAGACCCTTCATTTCCTTGTAAGTGGGCAAACTTACAAAATCAGCAGGGGATCAAATAAATATTTCCCCCACTATATGAGATTCTGCTCACCAGATATGTGGTCTCTTCTGGAATGTAAGCGAATGGGTTTTAATTTTTTTGTCTTTTTCATTGTACACCAGATGGAAATCATGAGCCTAATTGTTTCAAAAAATTATAGCAGGTCTCTCTTAACCAAGCTGCGCTATTTGAATGTGTCATTCATGTCTGTATAAACACTGCAGGACGAGTTCCAGTATGCTGAAGTTTAATGCTTAGTGTTGGGGTTTGTTCAAATCAATGAGCTACTGTTTATCATTTATAATGTGAATTGACTCAGAAATCAACTGAATAAATCATGCCTTCCCAACCTTTGGTGTACTTGCAGATAAAGTTGTTTTTGGTTTCACAATTGTCATCATTCCACTGGAACATGTAAGGCCCACCCTGACCCGGAGGAGCAGAGGGCTGATGGTACATCACCACACACACCTCAAACCCACAGGAAGGCTCATCCCAGTGCCAGTTCCTGTCGCACACAAACACAAAACAATAAGCAAAAGCACCTACAAAGGAAATGTGTCTAATGTGGCTCTCATCACACCTGAAGGTTGCTCGGCTTCCATCCAGCCAGTAGTATTGAGAAGGACAGTCTCCATTTATCTCCTCATAGCCTTGATCCCTACGGAGCCCGATCCAAAAGTCTCCATCTGATGCTTTCAGTTCATGGATGAAGTTCTCTATCAGTATCTGCTCAGTCTTAGACTCAATACCGAGAAGATCTCCACCATCACTCCTGCAGGCTCGACTCGCATCTTCAAAGTTGAGTTTACGCCGAGCATCTTGAAAATAGGCAATTTTATAGCAGGGCTTCTCAGTGCCACGCTTGCATATCTGCTGGCCTTGAGAGACACATTAAGACAATGGAATGTAAATGTATTGAAGTCAAGTCGAGTCACCTTTATTTGTATAGCGCTTTATACAATACTGGTTGTGTCAGAGCAGCTTTACAGTGTCAAACAGGAAAATAGTTTGTCAATGATGCAAGAAGACAATAACGTTTCTAATTTTTTATCTAAAGTCAGAATCGGAAGTCTTCCGAGTAATCTTCTATTTAGAATGCTTTAAATAAACACGTTTTTATTTGGAAAATTAAAAACAAAACAAACGTGTTCCTTTTTCCTTTGGCAAAATGGAAAATCTCATTTTCTGCATGCACAAAGCCCTTTAGGGTGCACATATTCGCATGTATATATTTAATTATTTTTCTAAAGCAAGGGTTTTTCAGACAATCTGCAAATCCAGGGACACCCAATATATAAAAAAGTGTTTTCCTTTCACAAAGAACATTAATAACGTTGTGAATAACAGACCACTACTTGATGTTCAGTCAATTGAAAAAGTGCCCAGGGTGTTCCCAATTAAACCTTTTTCCTCAGAGTGTATATATGTCAAAATAAAAATGAAATGTAATTATGTTATGATTAAATAGTCACGGAATGGAGAGATGAGATGGAGCTGTCATTTCATTTAGAGAAAGCCATTAGTGTCTGCGGCAGAACATACCTCTCTCGTAAACGTCTGCACCACAGGGAGGATGGACAACACATCGGGTTTACAAGCGGTGAAGAGAGAAAACAGCCACTCTTAAAGCATGCTCTAAAGAAGTCACTTCCTATATTTAAGCATCTAATTCAAATTAATTAAACAGGAAACGAATGCATCTATCGAGTCTAAAGAATGATTTAAGTGAGTGAAAAAAAAAACAGTTAAAAAAAGTTATTGCAAAACCTTTTAAAATTTCAACATATTTGAATATAGAAATCTTTTTATATTATAAATATTATTGATAAGAACCTCTAAGGTTGTCAAAAGACAAAACGAGGCACAGTATAGACTGACATAATATCTCAGATCTGACTTATTCGGGAAGCGTTTCTTCTAAATATCATATCTATAGTTTAATCTTTTAAAATAGTCGAATGCAGCATTTTCTTTCCTAAATGTGTAACTCACCGCCCAGAAGCTTTGACGCGCACACGGAGACGCTGAATAAAACCAGCACACAGCCACATTTTCTCATTAAATCCATTTGATCACCCTTTATCAAACTTCCATGGGCCTTAAAAGTAATTTCACCAAGACAATGAAAAGCCAAGTAAATAAAAAAGGGAACATCCAACACCAGGAAGGCTTCGTCCAGTAGAGCACCGATCACCTGTCCCGCTATCCTCTGAGATCTTCGTGAATGTCCAGGACCGAACACACAGACCGTCGTAACACGTCATCAGCTGACAGGAATGAACACGCCACGGGCTTTTATTTGTAGATACCAACAAATCTCATAAAAGATTACAAAGACACAGTGCTCCCCTTACCAGAAAGTAGTATACTTCAAGTTTATTTTATTAAGTATACTTAAGTAAAGTTCAAGTATATTTTTAAGTATACTTTATGTAGCAAGTATACAGATATCAGTGTACTAGTAGTATACTTGTAAGTGTACTATTTCAATACTCCTTGGGACTAAATTGGCCCACTTTCTAGTATATAAAAGTATACTTTAAGTATAACAGTAGTAAACTTTAAGTACACAACTAGTTTACAACAATATTTTTAGCTTGTACTGCAACTATACTAAAAGTGAACTTATATGAATACTGATAGTTTTCGAATTAAATACTTGTAGTAGCATTTTTCGTACACTTTAGGGCCTTTCGCACCGCTTTAGTTCCAGAACTAAATGTACAGTACTAAAGTACTGGAACGATTTTGCGCGAACTATATACTAATAGCACACTTGAATAAACTTCTTTTTCGTAAGGGTCACTGGCCTTAATATTTTAATATTTGAAGTGTTTAAGACAATGATAAACAAATGTAGCTAGTCTAGCTGCATTGTAAGTAAACTTCTTAAACATTAGTCTATTTCCTATGATAAAATGACACATTATATGTTTCAAATTTGGGACTAGTCTTTAATATCATCACTATGTTTACTGGAGCTTCTGAACTTCTTTCCGGTCCTCATTCACAGATGATGAAAGGGTCTTGGGAGCCAATCTACACAGAACACACAAATGATTTCATGGTGTTTTCAAAATCCACTTGGTTTATTATATAAAACATTATCTGATTTTACTTTATAAAAGAACATGCATTTTATGTTTTGCAGTGTTGCAGGTGCAGCACACAAGTTAATCTGAGCATTATTGTAATATGTGTCAAGCTTCCGCATTTAATTTAATGTTGCTAGAAACCAATCTACCGCACAGTCTCCCTACATGACATTAAATAAAGGATTTTGCAATGATGCATTTATAAGAAAGGGAATTGTTTTGGATAATAGGACAGGTAATCAATGCAGGTTTGTGCTGTCTGTACAGAGCAGAAAAGATCAGACAGATTTCAGATCAATATCCAAGCCTCAATTTAAGACTACGCTGGTTTTCCAATAACCCTTCATCACTGGGTCTGGAAATCAATTTTAGTAGGCTAAGAATCCATATAATAATGAAAATGTTAGAAACTGTCAGCAATTTCCCTCTCTTTCAAACTGACAAACCATTTTCCTCCTTACCAGTTTACCTGTTTAAATAATATTTGGGGGTGAGGGCCTGTGTGCTTTTCCCTTTTATAATTGGATGTGATTTACAGTAGCAGCATCAACGGAATAGCTCCCCTTATGCTGTCCACAGCAGTAAATTTCTATTAAGCACACAATTACTATTACTTTATTGAATGCAGTAATACATTGTAAAATTAATTGTAAAAAAATTTATTGCACTGGTATCTATAAGTTGCAAACGATGCAGTAAAAGATAATTTTCCAGATGAAATTATAATCAGATACAGTATGTTAATATCTGACAGAGAAGAGAAATAACATACATTTTTTCCACTAGGTTGCCTTTTCTTGGTTTGTTTCGGTAGGAAATCATCTCCTTCTGTTGAGAACATACATCAAACCTGTATTAAGTCTGCATGACATTAAAAACAAGGGACTCAAAAATAACAACATGCACATTAAATTTTTAATCAGTTTTTGTTTGTTTTATAGTAAAAATTGAAATCAGATATGCTCACCAAGGCTACATTTATTTGATCAAAAATACAGTAAAAACAGTAATATTGCTTTACAATAATTTTAATAAAAATCTAATAATTTAATACATAATAATATTAACATTTAAAATAAATGTTTTGTTTTATTATATATTAATATTTGTATATTTTATCTTTAGTGCCACATGATTCTCAGAAATCATTCTAATATACTGATTTGGTGCTTGAGAAATATTGCTTATCATCATACTCATTCTTCTTCTTCAGATTTATTATTAGAAATCTTATTTAATATTATAAATGTCTTTATTGTCATTGCATCCTTGCTGAATAATGTTAATCTAAAAAAACAGAGACCCCAGACTTTTGAACAGTAAGGTATGTACACTGTAAAAAAATATTTTTTGAACATGGTGATTATTGATGCATGTTTAAAAAGAAAATATAATTTCAGTCTTTCTACATCAAAATTTCACATGTGTTATTTGCCGTTTCTTTTATTTGTGAAATTTACTAGCAATTTCTGAGTGAAAATATTTTCAAACTAAAACAAGTGAATGTATATGTCTATTAACACTTAAACGTGGAAACTTTTCAGTATCATTAAAAATATAGCTCTGTACATTATACAGCCAAAACTGAGATGCATAACATCACATCCAAGCACCCAAAATGAATAAACACAACTAAAAACAACTGACTTCGGTGCAGCTTGTATTAGGCTTGTAAAGTACTCAGCAGGGGCTGGATAAAGCACCATCACCCCATAATCATCTGGCTGCTCCTCGGAGAGTCATCAAAGTATTGAAGAAGCCCACCCCTCCTTTCCTCTCCTCCTCTATAGGGGAGGGTGCCCTAAGAAATGCTGAGGCTCTAGGGAAAAAGTGCTGAGGAAAGGAGAGAGAGCACTCTAATGAATGGGAGAGGAATAAAACACTTGGCTGTCTGAGGAATCCTGTCCTGCAGCATCCAAATATGCAATGGCTGTGTTAGCAGAAGACCCAAGATGAGGCTTAGGTTGATACAAACTGAACGGAGAGACCTGAGAGGATGTTTTAAGCTAATGGGGCCAAGTACTTCTTTCCAAGTATATTTCTTACCTTAATTCGCTCATCCCTCTGCTTTTTCAGAAGGGCAATAATCTGGTCTCGTTTCTTGGCCTAACACAAATATGAAATATGTAAGTAAATGAAGAACCATGGTACATTGCATAACAGTTGCTGAAGTATAATACTATAATGAATTAAAAACTATTTAAGCAAAAATTATTTTATAATTGCTAAATATTGGTGTTATATTAGTATTATTTATGTATAGTTTTATTAATACTTTGAGTTAGCTATTATTTTTATATTGTCAGTTTTCATTTGAATTTTAGTTAAATTTTTTTGTGATTTTGTAATTTTATTATTATTATTATTATTATTATTCAGGTTTAATTCATTTTTATCTTAGTTTAAGTCTTGTTTTTTGTATTTATTTCCAGTTAGTTATTTTAATCCTTAAAGGGATATAGTTCACCAAAAAATGAAAATTTTGTCATCATTTACTCACCCTCAACTTGTTCCAAACCCGTATCAGTTTCTTTCTTTTGTTGAGAACAAAAGAAGATATTTTGAAAAATGTTGGTAACCGAACAGTTGGTGGAAGCCATTGACTTCCATAGTTTGAAAAAAACCCAAAAACAATGGAAGTCAATGGCTACCATCATACAGGTTTGGAACAACTTGAGGGTAAATAAATGAAAACAATTTTAATTTTTGGAAGTACTATTCCTTTATTATTAGACTAAATGAGAAAGGTTGATTTGGCAAACTGTTTTTCATCTAAAATTTCTATTTTATTTTAGCTTTATTTAAATTAACAATTGTTGTAATAGTTTTAGTTTAGTTTAAGACAAATACTAAATATATACGTCATGTAAATGCACAACCAGGGCACACTGCATATTAGTTACTGAATTTACAGTATCTACCAACACCTTCATTGATGCCCATCTGTAAAAGATGGTGAAGGATACATACACTTTTATAGAGTATAACAGCACTGCTGAATAGGCAGCAGCTGTCCGAGTATACCAGCCGACAGCTGCACTTACTAAACAAGCCTCATAATTTTGATTTAGCGCCCATAGTTTCTGGCTGCTCTTAATGTCATTTCATTAAATCCATTACATGCTTGTACACTATAACCATTTTTCAAGCCAATGCCATTTTATGGCAGGTTAATCAGTTATAATAATGTAATGTAATGTCTCTGTTGATTATTATCACCCAGTGTAAACATTTGTCATACTGCTAAAACTAAATCAAATGGAGTTGTGGAAGAGTACAATGCATCGGCAAAATAACATTAGAGCAGGCTGGAGTATGATTACATTTTCCCCACACTGTATTAAACATTACAATAATAGAACAACATAGAAAACTGACTTCAAAACATTTTGAATTCAGTTTCTTTGACAAAGCCAATTTTTTTTTTTGAAAACCTCCAATGTATAACCCTTTGATTCAGAGGGTTTGGGAATAAGGTTAATTAGCTAAGAGTAATCTCATAAAATGGATCTGTCCTCCAGAGGGCCATCCATCTTGGGGTTTCCAGGTTGATTACTCACAGTGGGAAAGCAGACATTACAGGGAGGGCACTGCCCACTGCCCACTGCCCTGCTGAACATGCTATCTTCAGATGCAAGGAGATGAATGACACATGCAACACCAGCTTATGTAGAATGTGGAATGCTAGAGTATAGCACATGGAGATGGTAAACTGTATTGGGGCAGCTGACAAGCAACAATAGTGTTATTAGGTTTGAAGTATAATCTAAAGCTATTATATACTATTATATTTTTATTAATATTTTGATTTAGCTTTTTAACATAGTACTTTCAGTTTTCATTTGAATCTTTCATTACATTTTTAATATTTTTTTTATGCATGTGCTTTTGCCATTTTTTGTAGTAATTACAAGTAAAACTATTAGTAATTTTAGTGCTTTGACAAACTAAAAAAAAAAAATGGAAATGTTGCCTTGGCAATGTTTGTTTGTTTATTTTCAGGTTTATTTAAATTAACAAAAAATGTTTTAATAGTTTTAGTTTTAGTAACCCTGCTAAACTTACAGTTTTTGTATGATCTCAAATTAATATGTAATATGTACTTTTATTTATGTCACACTGCAGGCAGCAAGACCATTTAAAATAAAAGAGTGATGGCAAAAAAGTGATGGTAAAAATGTAGAAATAGCAACCAGTAGATGACCTAAGACATTTCCTTATACATATACAGTGGTATCCTACAGTGGTATTTTTTTAATTGGGAAGTAAACTGAACATTTTAAAAAAGTATTTTTATTTTCAATAAAGATATTTTTATATTATAAGATTCTGCACTATCAAGGTGACTAAAAAATAAATAAAATTGTACTCATTTATACAAATGGTCAGATGCACTTCATTACACGCTCCACTGAAGCTGAAGATCATGCTGGAGAACAACCAGGTTTTATACATATTGTGAAGTTCACACAGCTGGAGTGCTGCTCTCATTAAGGGGGCACATACTAAACACTAAGACATTCTGTTCAGTGGTATACTGATAATTTAATCTTCATTAAAAAAAGAGATAAAAAAATAAAAGGATATTTTCTCTGACATTTGGACACCACTGCATGTAAATGATTTTACCCTAAAATTGGGATACTAAATTAAAACACAAAATTCATGGACACATGTCAACTATCATTGAAGAATTTCAATGAATTGAAGCTTTGTGTCATTATAATGATCCAAGTCTATGAATAAATACTAAAAATCATATTTTGCATAACCTAATATGGCCCCAAACTTAATGCTCACAATATGCTTAGGTTCTGTGGCAAGTGCAGATTCTTTAGTCTGTAAAGCAAAATGACGAGTTTCTTGCCCCAGCAATGCCAGAAAAGGGACAAATCAATGCTTCCTTATTCTTATACGCAGATGAATTGATCGGCAAGACCAGTGATTTCCTGCTAATCCGATTAGTAGATGTGGTTAGTGCAGTGTTGGGAGAGAAAGTAGCTATGCGGAGAGATTCATCACTGCACAAATGTAGGGCTTAAGAGCGGTAAGCAGGCTCTTAAGGATTCTGCCTGCTGGATAGCATTACAATTGACTCCTCTGCGAGAAAATTTACACGAGTCAGACAGCAATGGAAACCTTTAAATTAAATCTGCAGACTTATGGGATACCTCTGTTTGAAAGCACTGAAAGTGTACTATCAATCAGCACAGTAACTGCCTGGTAATATGAAGCACAGCATATCAGGTGCAGGATGAGTTATGCGGCAAAGTTTAGGGTTATGAGTGTGTTCAGATTCCTGGCATCAAAGTATAATTAACATGTAATAGTGATGCTTGCTTTTAAAACGTGCTTGCACCATTAAAAACTTTATACCAGAGTTCCATTTTATGTTGTGATCTTAAATTATCTGTGATGCTCCTCAGAGACTCATTTTGCTTATGTGGCTTACTGAGAGCTACTCTAAAACCGGCAAATCCAGCCTGCCAGATCTACACTTAGAAACCCCGCTGATCTCAAATCATCTTTCATTAGAGATCCATAACTGCCCTCCACAGGCTGGCTCATTAGTTCTTCATGCTGCAATGCACTGTCTAGAAATAAAGATTTCACAGCAAAGAGAGAATCAAGACAGAAGCAGGAGCCACACATCTGACTTAATGTGTATTTTCAATTCACTAAATTATGCCACATCTCTCAATCTTTCTTATTGTTTTTGCTTCTCAGAAGTGCTAATTACCTTACTAAATCAGGTCCTTTTACTTGACATTCTTACATGTGTAGTGTATTGAGCTTGTGGTCCGGGGCTGGTTGCACCAGCTGTATGCAAGTTACAACTTAGCCTAGTTTTGACATAAATCTGCACTTAGTTAAAACTTATGCACTACTAAATATTTTTTCGTTGCACCATTACACTTAGTTGAAGGGTAACTCGATCTGGACCTGGAGACCTGGAATAAGACTGAATGAACTGCATCATTATGCTTTTCTTGTACCCGACAACCTTCAATCCTTTAGACATACAGTATATGATGCTTCTGACATTTACACTCGCATACAAATTAAGAGAGAGAAAAATATGTTAATAAACGTACTTTCTTTTTTAGCGCTTCTTCAACACCACATCCACAGTGCGCCTACGTGTGCTTCGGTCTGTATTGCGCTGCATGTCAAATAAATAATAAATAAATGGAATTTTTCTTATGTTTTTTTTCTTTCAGTATTTATTGATCCTTATATTATATTGCAATTACAGTTTCTGAATGTTATTTAGGTTACATATAAAAATAGCTTACCTATAGGCTAATGTTAGTCATGATTAAGTAGTATCGTTTTTAATGGAAATGTATTTTTACCGTTAGTTACGCAAGGCAAAAGAAGTTAGAATGAAAGATAAACTGAAATTCACAGCATTTAAACAAGTTCTGTTTGCGTATTTGAAGGCTTCTATTGGATCATTTAGGGTAAACGTCATATTATGCGACTATGCATTACTTTACTGAGAGCTCATGAACTACTAGCTACGTCCTGCCTTACAAACAACTGGTGCAACTGAAAAATGTATAGATTTAGTCACAAACTGCTAGTAGTAAGCCTCTATTGTGGACTTAAAGTTCTAATTTAAGAATTTACGAATGGGTGGTGCAACCCTACCCTGACCCTTAAACACCCAGCAACTACTACACATCTACTGTATGTTGCAACTACCCTAAAGAGCTGTCACATTGTGCTGCCCACTACGCCACAGCTCTATGTGCTTGCAATATGTAGAGCAAGTGCCACTGTGTTCATAAAAATAGCAAAATTTCCATGAAAAAAAAAGATAAATCCAAACTTTACTAAATTTAAATTTCACATTATACATTTAACATTTTTGTTAAAGCTGCAGTCTGTAACTTTTTTTTGTTTAAAAATAATCCGAAATCAATATTTGAGCAAGTACATAATCAGCCAGTGTTTGAAACTATCGCCTTACTTTAGCCCGATTCACAACGGTTAGCTTATAATAATGTTTTCTAATTTGAGTGGTATGGGTATGTTTTCGCGGGAAATTCGAGCATGCTGCTACGTCATTACGTCACTTCTGTAAACATAAAGAAGTTGTCCCGGCTACTAGGCTATCGCATGTGAGGATCCTGCAGGTGGCTGATCGTTTATAGCCTTTTCTCACAGCAGCTAGAATAATTAAATGTATCATTTTGATGGCGGATTGTAATCCAGAAAGGATTATGTGTTTATGAAACACATGTGAATGAAATTCAATTATACTCCAGTTATAAATGTGCTTCTGATTACAGATAGCCTGGGATTACAAAGATTTGTATTTTAAAGAAAACCAATTCGAAGGGAGCACAATTTGTTTTTTGGGTTAAAAGAATTTCTTAATATGAGAATTTCATACAAGAGTATGACAATTAGATTTGACTGTGCAGAAATTGAAATCTACACGCTAATACACACTATACTCATAGTCACCAATGCTGATGTTGTTAACATTAATAATTTGAGAATAAAGTATAACAATAATAATAATTTGAATGGTTTGTTGTGATATGAGCTAACCGATCTTTAGATTTAATCACCATTTTGTAGCGAGATTTATGGTAATGCTTTTTTCCTCAGGTGGTCAGAACAAACGTGGCAGACGTGTTACTTACTTGTTCAGATGGCAATATACGGTGAAAATTCTTATTTGGGTCATATTCCAAGACGTAGGCTAGAATCTGTGATTGTGAAGTACAGTAAATATCCACACCGGTGCGGTGACTGACTGCCACGCATACTCTTCAGAACATGAGATTCATCCGCGCTGGAGCCATGCCGACTCACAACCCACGCAAGCTAGATAATTCCGCACCCAGCTGCAATTCCAAGTACATTTATTCTTATAGGATTTAAAAGACTTATCAACTTGACTGCACTGACACTATCGGACCAGAACAAAGCTCAACTGAATTCAGCTGAATGCAGAAACTACTGTCTTCTGTGGAGCTGCTTTATAGATGAATTTATTTGTTTTATAATGGACACATTTTGCAACAACGACACTGTTATTGAGCTGAACTCAATCAACATGAACTGACTTGAGCAGAATAACAACACTACTGCCTTCTGTAGAACTGATTATGGCTGAATTGAACTTGTGTTATAATTGATTAACTTTACACAGTTATTGAACTGAATTGAAACCACACTGAACTATATATAGCCCTAGTCTACAAATAAAAAAAAAAACTTTTATACAAAATATACAAATGATTACTACAAAATAATCATCATCTTGCACCATTTGCCTAATTACTCAAAAAAATAACCTTTTAATGAAATTAATCAAATTCATAAGCATGTTCATGTGCCACTGAGACCTCACCATCTCCATGTATTTCTGTCTCTCCTCTTCCTTTTGCTTTAAGTAAGCATCCTGCTGGATTTCATCATCCCTCTCTACCAAGCAAGCAAACAAAAAGGCCAAATCAGATTAAGAAAAATACATTACGCTCACAAACACCTATTCTATACTTACTTGACCATGACGCTTGCTTTGCAGTAGCATTTGTGGCTAAAAATAAAACAACAAAGGATTACTCAACTTTATCTGATTTTATTTCAGTTTTTTCATGTGCCACCAAAAAATTTGAACCATATTTAAAGACTTAAACAGGGGTTCTCAACTCTGGCCCTCGAAGTCTGCATTCCTGTTGAGTTTTGTTTTATGATTTTTATTTCATGTTTTTTTTTTTTTTACAGCTCATTTATACAAGTTTGCAATGTACAGTGCTTAACAAATTTTTAGAGCACCACCACAAGATTTGTGCCACATGCTCTAAACTAACAGTATTGGTGATTACCAAAATAATTATTTATGTTTCTGTTATTTAATCCACACCAGTATGTGTAAGCTCTTTAGTCACAGAAGTGTTTCTAATGCTAAAATATAATTATTGTTGTAATGCATGACTTTTTGAATGTACTGTTTTACAAGAAAGGCAGAAAAAAATAGTACAGCACTTTATTATTATTAATTTTTATTCAGATGCACAATTACAGTCAATAACAACAGAGACTGTGGAAAAGCATAAAAACAATGCCAGCAAAAATACAAGTTGTTATCAAGGCCAAAGAAGGCCATACAAAATAGTAAGTTATTATGGGTGAATAAAGAGTTGTTTCAGTTTGTTATTCACCTAATAAATGACAATACAATCTTTAGTTTTAAACAAGTTTTTAACAGATTCCTAAAATATCTGTGCTTAGCCTACTGGTGTGGATTAACCATTACAGAAACATAAAAATGATTTTGGTAATCACCAATAGGCTACTGTTAGTTTAGGGCAGCTGTGGCACAAACCTTACATTGGGTGGTAGTGTTCTAATAAATTTGTTAAGCACTGTACAATACAATTGTATGCAATACGCGCACGTACTGAACGGCACACTTACAGTTCGGGGTCTTCGCAACTTTCAACCGCTGCCTGATGTCAGCAGAAACGAGCCGAGACTCTATTGGTGGCTGCAGGGAAAGGGAGCTCCAGAAAACCTTTGCATATGCCACATCTTCTTGAGACGCTCCATCAAATACTGTATAAAGTTTGTCGATTTCTGCAATACTGTCCAAAACCTCTTTGTCTAGTTCTTCAGTCATAATAGTTAGCGAGCTTGCTGCTCTAGCAATAGGTAACCAGGCATGTGTTACGGTTGCCAAGGTAACTAAACGCTCCATATAAACGGAAGTGTGTGAGGAATTACATAATAAAGAGATACTTCCATACTTCTGTTCTGACGGGAATTAAAAAATAAATAAATAAATAACTGTTAGTTTCTGTACTATATTAGACGAGACAATTTAACGGACGATCTTTTAAATTACTTAATTAATTAGTACTTAATGCAGTAGAATATGTTTTGTGAGTAAAACGTATGAATGACCGAATGATTTACAATGAAAATCTGTATAATATCCTAAAACAATACATACTTACACAGTAATATTGTTACCCTACATGTTTTTGTAAGTAGAATTACCTTATTTTAAGATTAAAATGATATGTATATTGATAGAGTTGTGTCTTTGCGTAACAATGTGCACTTGCCTAAATGAAAAACCCATTTATTTATTATTATTATTATTATTTTTTTACAATTACAAGGTTGTTAACATTATATCAAAACGAATAGGCCTACAGCTATGAACCGTAAATACATAAAATGCCTTCACGGAAAATAGAAATTGAAAAAAATTGAAAATAGTCAATAGCATATTTAAAATATTCATATACAGAAAATAAAAAAATGATCGCTAAATCTAATCAGACAAATTAGAACAAAGTGTGATATGTTTCAATTTATTGGATGATGTAGGTATGCATTACAAAAATTACAAATAAAAACAGCAAAAACAAACTGTTATATAATTGTATGTTGTTTTATAACTGGCCTTCACCTGGTAGTGAGGTTAGTGATTGCTATAAGGATTGTAATCAACTAACTACACTGCCTGATGACCACACAGTATATTCTCTGGCAGAATGTTTTTTTTTTTTTGCATCTCACAAAGGCTGGACTGTAAATTACAAATAGACCAATACAACGCATAAACGCTGTCAGAAAAACAGATATCAAATAATTGTATCAGCTATGTGTTTCCTTGTAGGTCATTGTGTTGGCAGTATGGTTAGTGATTGTAGTTTATATAAAACAATCAGCTAACAACACTGCCTACAAACCAACCCCAACAGGTTAATATATCAGCACACGAATATATTTGAATCATGTTATCCTAAAGAAGATAAACAAAATAAGTCAGCATAACAATAACGATTTCAAATATGTAGGCTAATTCACATACCCAAGTCGAAGAAATAAGTAATATCCACTGATTACTGAGGCATAACAAACAATAATAATTTTAGTATTGCAGTGTTAAGTCACCTTCTTAACTCTCTCAGGTTTGTGTTCATCTAGCTATGTTACGACCCTGCTGACGTCACATCTCCAGGTCGGGTAGATGCCTTTAAATCAGTTTATAACTAGTTGCGGACAACGCAAGCACTCAAAACTTTTAAAGTGAGGCAATCTTACCTAAAGAAACTCATCGGGAGCTCTCTGTGTCGCCCCATCATCTTGCATGGTCCCTCTGCGTTGGATTCCACCACATGCTGTTTGTATTTATAGCCAATGCTGATATTGTATGTTCAAATTGAGCGCCATCCGAGGCGGGAGCCACTTGAGCGCGAACCACGGCGCTATTCCTCCCAGGAAAATACTGAGATGAGCGCCGTACAAAGAGGGAAACTATATCGGCGCAAAATCAGTGGAATGCACTTAATTAACTTAAACTAATGAGCTCTTAAGAAAATTATTTTCAATAAATATTAACAATATTTTTTTTCTTTGCAATCGATAATATTAATTTATTTACTGTCCGACTATTCATCACAGGTGATAATAATAATAATAATTCTCCCACCACGTAATATACTTCTACAAACTCTGTTTATGGTTGTTGCCAAGCAACAGCCACTTAGAATGTGCTTATTTCAACGGCTTCGAACGCTGCTCAGTCAATCAAGTTTTAGAGTAAGAATTATGAGTTTTATTATCCACAGTAGCCTAATATCTAATGATTAAAGTAGCCTATACATTGCTAAACCGTTACCTGTTATCATTCCTTAGGTTGAAAGAAACAGAAGTCAAGCATAATGAGGCTTGGAGACGGCAAACTGCCTCTGAGGCCCATATCTCTGTCAACACTGAACTCTATCTATGTTGTTAACTGTTGGTAGGCAATGCTGCACAGTGTGTATAGTGGACAATGGTTTTCTGGACTAGGTTACCTAAGAGACCACTTAGTCCACGTGAAGACAGGTCTAGGCTTGCCCAGAGGGACTAGGCAAACAGAAAAAAGAAAACGTATTATGTCCTTGCAGGCCACATTAAGGAACAACAGGTTTTGTCAATTGTTCTGTAGCTAGACATATTTCTACTTTATGTCCTTGTTTTATTTGTTGTGAACTAGGCCTATTAAATTAATCAATCTCCGGGCCTGTCTAAAAGCAACCCGATATCATGCTTATAAGTGGGAGTGCAGAGGCAAACAGAAAAAAGAAAGCGTATTATGTCCTTGCAGGCCACATTAAGGAACAGGTTTTGTCAATTGTTCTGTAGCTAGACATATTTCTACTTTATGTCCTTGTTTTATTTGTTGTGAACTAGGCCTATTAAATTAATCAATCTCCGGGCCTGTCTAAAAGCAACCCGATATCATGCTTATAAGTGGGAGTGCAGACAGCAAAATATATTCACACTCATTTACAATATTTGTCTACAGTATATTGGTTCAACATGGCATTTAATTTAGGTCACACATTTGTCATTTCTTTGGTAGCTCACACAAACAGTTACACTCTTAAAAATAAAGGTGCTTCACGATGCCATAGAAGAACCTTTTTGTCTAAATGGTTCCATAAAGAACCTTTAACATCTGAAGAACCTTTCTGTTTCACAAAAGGTTCTTTGTGGCGAAAGAAGGTTCTTCAGATTATAAAAAGGTAAGAAAGATATGGTTCTTTAAAGAACCTTTGACTGAATGGTTCTTTGTGGAACCAAAAATGGTTCTTCTATGGCATTGCTTGAAGAACCTTTTGAAGCACCTTTATTTTTAAGAGTGATAGAAGAACAAACAAATTCCACTTTGTTGAACTAGAGACTATATAAGACTTGATTTTGCATATTATAAGCTCCTCCCACAATTTGAAACACCTGTTTAATTTAATTACAGATGAGCGCATCCTGAGACATTAAAAGGCTGTCTGATGTTGAAAGAGACTGAATTTCTTGTTGTGGTGTTTAAGATGACGTTGCATAGCTGTAGCAAAACAACAGAGTGATATTTACTTACTAAGCAGCTGTATTAATGAGCAGCAAGTTGTTTGTTTTTATGTGATTTTATATTTGAATTATTTTTAAAGCAAAAAAAAGTCAAATATGTTGTCCCATTGACTCCACATCTCAACATTTAAAAATGAAGGAAGAGATTGCAGCCACAGTGTTTTTCATTGCAAGACTAGCAAAGAAGCATGGTAAACTGGATCGTGTTAGGAGGGAGAAGCTTGCTGTGGAACTAACCTCAGTGCTCTTTGAAAATTATAAAAGTCATTGGTACACAGAAAACCCAACCAAAGGACAAGCTTTTAGGTGAGCAGCTTGATGCTAGCTTAACTTTTTTTTTTTTTAGCAAATCAAGTGCTTTATTGGACTAATTCAAGGGCCTTTTTTCTTCTTAGGTGTCTAAGGATGAACAAAGCTCAAACGAGAGACCCAGTTATTGAGCGTGCTTGTCGGCAGAGTGACATTGTTTATGAGAATCTTGGATTACCAAAGGAAATGACCATTTGGGTTGATCCGGGAGAGGTGTCATGCCGGTAACACTTGATTTGCTGGCCTGTCACTTAAGTGTTCAATCCATACTGGTTTTGATGACTCGACTGTGCCACTGTAGTACTTCCTAAAACTGAAATTTTTTTCATTTTCTTAAAGGTATGGTGAAAAGTCAACCCCATTTTGTGTTACCCAGTTGGAGGGTCAAAAGAGAGATGGGGAGTTCTCTCGTAGGATAAATAATGCTGTGGAAAGAGCTTCATCGGACTACCACTCTGGAACCTCCTCAGATGAGGAGGGAGGAAACACCAGCATGAGCAGCAGCGTGAGTAGCAGCAACAGCAGCAGTCTTTTCGTCCCAAAGCCTAAATGCATCCCAACGGTTTCCAACCCAAACAGTGTCTACCAGGTAACAAATTCCAGATAACCACTCTTCAGTCCCTTTGCATGCTTCTAACACTTGGTTGCTTAAATTTGCGCCGTTTTAACCGCTCCTGTTCTCCATCTATAGTTCAGTGAGTTCGGGCAGCCCCCACCTATGCAGAACTGGGGCACATACCCTAAAAGAAAGCCATATGCCTCTGAGGGCTACCAGCAGCATTCCTTAGGTGGACCATACCCACCTCATAAGAGTTTCAAGGGTTACAGGCCCTCCTATGCCTTCTGTGGTCCAAGGGTGGACCGATATCACTGGGTCAGCAAGAACCGCTCCTAGATTTTATTTTTAAAACCAGTGTATTGTTTTGCTGAGCAGCTATGCAGGCATATGTGAGTGTTCTAGAATATAATTTCTATGTAGAGCTTTAACAAATTATTTATGGAGTCATGTGGCAATGCCATGAAGGCACTTTTTAGTTTATTTTAATGCTTTATTTGTGGAGTGGAGAAGACTTTCTAAATAAAATCTATTTTATTAAAACTTGCTTGTTTGGACGTGCTTGGTCTATGCTTATGCCACTAGATGGTGGCAAATATGCACAATATAATCTCAGTTGTGTGCACCTCCCTCTTTAAGTTCACGACTGCTGATGGTGCTGACGAATTCTGAATGAGATGGTTTGGTTGTACACTAACGCTTATAATTTCTATTTTTAAGTTTACATGGTGTACTTTTTTAAATGTTTTTCCTCATTGTGATTTGAGTATATTATGCATTGTACTGTATATGGTAAGCCAGAATGATGTGAGGTGAGATTTTCTCTTTCCTCCTGGGTGTATGTTTCTGAGAATTGACTCATGAAAAGGAAAATGGGGTGTGGTCTGAGTTTGTCACTAAAAGTTGAGACCGTTCTTTTACGAGAACCCTTGGATTCAATTCACAATTGCTGCATTTACCAAGTTGTAATTTTTTTTTTTTTTGCCTTGTGTTGGTTACCTCTGTAGTAACTAGTACCTTCATTGCCATTCAGTTTGATTTCACAAAAGTATGTTTGAGTTGGTTGTGAGGTCTATAATTTCTGGAAAAAAAAAGCATTTATCAGCATTACCGTTCATTTTAAAGGCAGTTGGCTGTCTTCCTTATTTGTGCTGTTCTGTACTCCATTTTGTCTGCTGAGCCGTAAATGCCATTTTACCAAACACTCGGAATCCACAGGAAAATAACACCAATGGTAATCAATTTTTTTTTTTTTGTACAGTTTACTTAAACGGAGCTGAAGCAACGTGTGATGCCACTAGGGTTGGGTATCGTTTAAATTTGATCGATTCCGATTCTTATAGATTCCTAGTTTCGATTCCAATAAGATAACAAATCCAATATAAAATTAAGTCAAACATTTAGATGTAAAACATTTATTGTCTTTTTACAAAGCATTCTGTTGCAGCTGAATAACACGAGCAAAAATCAGCAGCCTACAGCACACTGCAAGAGGAATTTTGCCTATGCTTTAAAACAAAATACCACAGCAAAAACAACTATTAATATAAATTTCAAATAAAGTGTTAAAGACAAGTAAACAGTCAGTAATAAGATAGGAACAAACAAATCAATTAGCAATATCATAAATACAACTGAACAAAATTTCCGATACAGAAACTAATTAAAAGTTTAAAAACACTGCATAGCTTTCTTTTCATAAATAAAAGATAGATTAATCAATTACATTTATTAAATATATTCAGTCAAGATCAGTGAATGATTTTCTTTTGTTATTTGATTAACATTAATGACAGGCAGCTGATCTTTATTAGGCTGCTGTCTCTTTAACACCGAACGCACGCAGATCTAAAAAATACTGTACGTGTGTTTTCTTTCTCTTCTGTTTACATTCAAGTAAGACAAAAACGGCTGTGTTTCTGATGATATACTGACGTAGTTTTCTGCATATTGGTCTACAAATATGAAAGAAGTCGGTTTCAGCCCGGAACAGCCTTTTCTACAGTGGAAATACACGGAACGGTTCGAGAACAGACACAAACCGGGAACCCGTACCGCGACCTCTGTTCTCTGTGCTCGCGCTTGTGCTTCGTGTGGGCTGCACGCAAACAGGGCGCAAGTTCTTTCCGTTCCTGCACTTAAATCGTTTTTAATCACATTAAAATGCGAACACAGGAATCGTTAATCAGAATCGAAATGCACGCGTCTTATCGAATACCCGGTTCTTGGAAATTTGGAACCAGTTCTAAAATGGAACCGGTTTTCGATACCCAACCCTAGATGCCACCACTTTAACAAATTTGTTTACACGGAGATGATAATGGAATCGTGCATTTTCAGGCCTCTAAAATGGCATTGTGTAAATGAATGGCCAAAACAAGATTTTAGTTGAAAACGGTGACAGCCCCTGAGTTTCCAACATGCCCCTCATAAGGGTGAGGGCCAGATTTACTAACAGCTTGTGCCAGTGCAAACTCTCTACTGTCAGGATTCACTAAAGACATGCAGTTAAAAATTAGCGATGAAATGGTGTGGACAGTTATTTTTGTGGCTTACCTTATTCCGTACATATTTGTTGGAGTAGGATGCAAAATTTATGGTAGGGGAGTATTTAAATGAATCATTTAATTTACTAAGGTTTGTGGTAGTCATTTTACTGGTACTTGAAGGAAAAAGACCTAGTTTTTAATGGTTAGTAATTTTGGACATTTAAAAATTTCTGTGATGTTAAAAGTTCTTGTGGTTGTCATATAGTGCTGAGGAGTTGAGCTTGTAGTTGGGTTATGGGTGACTGAAGTGAATGAAGTTCCCTTTCAAGGGAATTTCGAACTGCATCCTCTAGGGGTCGCTATGGGGAACGCCTCGTTGTGACCCGTGTCTGAAGCATACATTGAAAAAACACCAACAACACGTTGGCCGGCGACAGCCATGACGTCACTACCGGTGCGACTATAGTATAAATAGGCGCCGGGAGAACACATCATTCTCTTCTTCGTCTTCAGTGACTGTTTTGTTTGAAGCGTGCATTTCGGTGGTAAAAGCGATCTCTATTCATTCATTATGGCGAGCACTAGCAAAGCGTTTAGAGGATGTGTGCATCCGTGTCGTCGTTATTTGACACCCGATGACACACACGATCTATGCGTTGTTTGT